CCCCAAAACCCCAAAACCCCAAAACCCCAAAACCCCTAGATCATTATAATTTCTTGAAACATAATAAAATACGAGCAACAATGACAGATGCTCAACATTCTTCAATTATTATCACATCTTACACTTGGTCCAGAGATTCCTTCAGTCTTTTTGATTATAAGTGAAAGGAAATAGAAGTGAAAAACTTTAAAGGCTCAGGTAGTTTTCATATATACAGAGATAAAGATAATGGTATATATTGTTCAGCAGAGAAGCTAGGCCTCAATGATATACTTCATATTGCTAGGTGGAAGGATACTTACTACGTTGCTCCATCAGGCATAGATGATGACTCTAACCTTTATTGTAACCAAGCATGGAACTTGATGAACCATCAAGAAATGAACCATCATGGGTTCAAGGGTAAATAAGCTAAATTTAGGAGACGTGCTTAAGCTAGGGAGATTCATTTTCAGAGTAAAGGAAATCTCCCATAGAAATACAAATGAAAAAGCATTGATGGCTACTAATCTAGATATGTATCTGACATCTTTTTATCAGACAAAGCAGCTAGGCAATTATCAAATGAACAAGAGCCTTGTTAAAAGACCTAGAAGAGTTAGAAATAAGAAGAGCAGTAAAAGAACGTCACAGGAACAAGAAAAAGAAGATTTCTTGTGTAGAATCTGCCTGAGTAGTGTTCAATCAAAGGAAGATCCATTCATTTCGCCTTGAAACTGCTCTGGAACAATGAAGTATATCCACTTTTCCTGTATAAAAGAATGGATGGATAGTAAGAAATCTATAAATGGTGGTGATAATTACCAAAGAATTACGTGGAAAGACGTCAAATGAGAACTTTGCAAATCGATTATAGACTACAAAGATAATAGAGGTACTTAAAACTTGATACTTTCATGCTTATCGAGCATGCTCCGTAAACCAGGCTAGAGTGCTTGTCATTCAAACATTGATTGGTTTTAACTGCACTTATTATTTGTCAAGTTTGTTAACCAGCCTATCCATATTCCTCTTACCAAAATTAATGGAAAGTGTGAGGAATATGAAATAAGAGTTTGAAACATTTCGAAGAGTCACCATGCTAAGATCTATTTATGTTTTCTCCAAAATTTTGTTCATAATGTTTCCAAATTTCCCTGAAAATCATCCTTCAAATTTATGATATAAAAGAAACTTACAAACTGATTTTTCGGAAATAATCTTCTGCATAGGTCTCGAATATGGAATGAACGAGCTAAACATATTTGAATTTGAACGACCGAGCAGTGATAATTGGATTATTCTGGAAGCTCTGAACACTGAGCAATTCTCAGAGGAGCAGGTAAAAGTGTATCACATCTTCGATTTCAAGCAAAAATAAGACCTTAGTAGTTGGCAGAGGCTATAAAGCTGATGCCAAGATCAATGACATCAGCATTTCTAGAGTCCATGCGTTTCTTAAGGCCAGAGAAAATGAGATATGGCTCCAAGATTCAGATTCTAAATTTGGTTGTCTCTACTTGCAATAGAGAGACCATACCAGATTCAGCCAGGTAATGATTTAGTGTACTTCCAGTTAGGAAGAACCCTGTTTCAGATAAAGTCTGTCACATATACCTGCTGAGATAAGCTCACTCGATGTTGAAGTAAAAAGAGAATGACTATCAAAGGAAAGGACTACAAAAAGTTCAGGGATGAATTTCCCACAAAAATTCAAGACTGATGATCTAATAAATAAATTGAGACTCCGTAAAGTTCTCGAGGACAGTTTTAACCCAATCAATCATGAACAGAACTCATTTGATAGTATCAGTGAAAGTTTGGCACTTCAACAGAACTCTAAGAATCTGGTAGATCAGCAAGAGACTTTACTCAATAATATTGTATTGTGATGCGTAAGCTTTAGGATTCAGGAGCCCTTAACCAACGAAGTTCAATCAATGAAAGCTCAGAGTAAACAAGCCTTAGTATGACAAATATCTTTTAGGTTCAAATAAATCGAATAAAGAAGAAAGCAAATGATGGGATCGCCCAGGTCCTAATGTCGACTTTATCAGAAGCGAAGATCAATGGAATTGTAAGTCATACCTAGATTCTAGTTTCATTATATGGATTTAGGTTCAGCTCATCAATATCATTTTTGCTAGTTTCTCAAAGAAGCATTATTTTATTAATATTATTTGTAGCTGAACAACAAGAGAATTATTTTTCAAGTACAATCCAGCGTGATAAAAACCTGAATATTCTAAGGCATAACGAGGCTGCATGGAAATCACGAACAGAAAATAATCATTCCTCTTTGTCAAACCATCCAAACTACGGTGGTTTTTCGTTACAAAGCCATAGTAATAACATTCCGAAGAGTACGCTCGTCCACAAATCAATTCTGGAAGGTAAAAAAATTGTATCAAATGTGTAGAAAACAAGAGCCAGGATGACCATGAAGACATTCTAAATAACAGATTGATCGATGAGCTGATGCAGGACCCTATAGAAGTATTTGAGTTCTCTGTTTCAGAGCCTCAAAATGCAGTGGTATCTCCTAAATTTCTCCATCCGCCTTCCAAATCTCTAAATTAGTTAAACTAGTGTAATAAAAATCTTAAATTTCTGGTCTTTCAATCTAAGAAGTTTTGTGGGGTTTTGGGGTTTTGGGGTTTTGGGGTTTTGGGG